TTATGGGACTACTGTACCAGAGCTATCAATTGCGCTCTGCACTATCTGAGATTGTCTCACTAGTTAACCATTTTATGATTGTGAACATATGTGGGATAACGTAGATTTCTCGATTTGGCATTCCAGGAACTCGGTGACAGGAAACTACGTGGAAAAGAACGTATCTGGTGGAGCAGGTGCGAATAAATGTAAATAAGGCATTTACATAATGTTTTCTTTAAGCCTCAATGGCCTAAAATCGCCAATATAGACCACTTTCATAAATGGTGGCCAATTATAAATTCTGTTACAAGTATTAAAATTAGCCTTACTAACCTCATATTGAAGTTGGTAATTCAAAAGAATTTTTACTCTGAAACGAGGTTAGTAAGGCTAATGTAAATGCTTACAAAAGAATTTTAAGTTGGCAGCCATTTATGAAAAGAGCTGTTAATGTATATTATGTGTAAGGTGCTCGCTTTGAAAGCCTTGTCACGTGATAAAATTAGTACCATCGCCAGTTTTGAGACGTTGTTGTCTAAATGAAATTTTTATGGCGCTTTGAAAGTTTTAAAATTGAAAGAGATTTGTATTGAAAAAGGCTTCTCGTCTCTTCTTCGCGAATCCTACGAATCCTTTAAAGTGATAGAGCCATAAAATCTCGATTTTGAGCGTAATTGTTGTCAAATTGCCATTTTGATCACGGTTTTTCCTCCAGGAGCATTATGTATGATTGGTCACGTGAGGGGTTGTGCAAAGGGCCGACTGTCCAGTGTAAAACTATGACATTTTAGGCAAATAAAAAGAGAAGGAAAAAAGCGTTTGGTATTTAGTATGTTTTGACCGATTTATGTAAGAGTCGTAAGGGGATTGAATAATTTAATACCTTTTTTTTAATTAACAATATCTGTGTTACCTTTACAATACTTAGATGTAATATACTTACAATACAATGGAGTGCAAGAAAAGTAAAAAAAAAAATACGTAGTTACATTCTTTACTATAAATTGCAGGAACGTTGCGCCATGTCCAATAGCGTACAGAGAAAAGTGAATACAGCTCTAAGTTACACTTTTCCATTTATTGTAGTAATTGACGTTCTGGTGAATCAGGCCTAGTTGATATTTGTTTTTCGATTTCAGCTTTGTTTATACTACTGTTAGACAAGCACTAAAAAACAGTTGTTCTCCATTTAATACTACAACGGTATATATGGTAGTAAGATAGTGGTTTGATACTGACTATTTTTTTGATGTTTCGTTCAAGACGTTTCGGCTGGTGCTTGAGCCTTCATCAGTTGAAAAACTAACGTTAGTACGCGTGATTAAAAAAACAGCACGTCGAAAGTGCGCTGAGGAAAATTCCGCGTGAAGTTTCAAGAAAACGTAGCGCGAGACTTATGCGCGTGCCAAAGACTTGTAGACTTCTGGGATGGCGATGTGGTCATTTCCAGATTGCGCATCCTTGAACAAAACATCAAAAAAAAAAAAATAGTCAGTGTCAAACCACTATCTTACAATGTTAGCTCCTGACTACCAATACTCAATTTTTAGCCATATGTAGTATTTCGCAAGTAGTTAGAGGTGATTAGTTAACCCCCTGGGGCGGTTCTATACTTCAAATCTATTGCCACGAAGCCAAAGAACATGCTGTAATGTAAATAGCCTGTGTAGCAGGTAAACGTTTTGCCATTTTAAATCACGTGTGTCTCTCAACAGGTTTCGTTCTGATTGGCCGGTGGAGCGTGTGGGGAAATGGCGGGAACTTGACTACACGGCTCCAGTGTACCCGACGTTCGCTTGTGGCGCGGGGAATGTTCTGTCCGCTGACCTTGTGAGGTGGCTGGCGTTAAATGCAGTTCACCTCAAACAATATCAGGTACAAGCGGAGCATTTCTACAACTAAATTAAAGTCAAATTCCCTGTACACCGTGCCGTGTATTTCATCTTATTTATCATCTTTTCAGGGTGAAGACGTGTCGGTAGGAATTTGGCTTTCAGCGGTGGGACCAAACTTTGTCAACGTAGGTTTACTTTGTTCATATCACTAACAGACATGTTCACTAGGTACTCTAGAGGTGTATTTTGTAATAAGCTTAATAGGATACTTAATTAGAATCCTTTGATACCATGTTTGGTACAATCTTGAAATCTCTGTACACCTCCTAAGATCAATGACAAGGCCTTGCACTGTTGCCAAATGAATTGCAGTAAGCACTGTGTACTCACCTACATATCACCATTGGGTTCTGGCNCTGAGGAAAATTCCGCGTGAAGTTTCAAGAAAACGTAGCGCGAGACTTATGCGCGTGCCAAAGACTTGGACACGAGGCTAACTTTCACGAGCGACTCTTTTTGGAAGCTTGGATGTCAATAAAGGATGCGCAGTCTGGAAATGACCACATGCATTGCATCCCAGAAGTCTACTAGTCTTTGGCACGCGCATAAGTCTCGCGCTATGTTTTCTTGAAACTTTACGCGGAATTTTCCTCAGCGCACTTTCGACGTTCTGTTTTTTGATCACGCGTACTAACGTTAGTTTTTCAACTGATGAAGGCTCAAGCATCAGCCGAAACGTCTTGAACAAAACATCAAAAAAAACTGTCAGTGTCAGACCACTATCTTACAAGAGATGAATAGTGTTGTTGACTAGATAATTTTACTTTGTTTTAAGGTACACAGACAACCAACTGGCTCAAGATGCCATGAACCTGACCTTCTTTCACTGGGGTGTCCATGGATGGATCGTGTACGTAGTTGTTGGACTTCTATTGGCTTTCGTGTGTTACAGGCAAGGCCTTCCCATGACTGTCCGCTCCTGTTTTTACCCGCTGATTGGAGACAAGATCTACGGGTGGATGGGCGATGTCATCGACATCCTTTCCGTCGTGGGTACCATGTTTGGCGTGTGCACAAGTCTGGGGTTGGGTGCCATACAGCTCAACACTGGTATCCATCGCCTGAACAAAGACATCGAAATCTCGACCACCAATCAGATCATAATCATTTGGTGCGTCACCGCGTGTGCCACGGTGTCCGTCATCACTGGGCTGAAGCTTGGAATAAGACGACTAAGTGAGATCTGCTTTTCCATCGGTATGCTTCTCATGCTTGTTGTCTTCTTCTATGATGACACCTGGTACCTTTTGAACCTGTACGTGCAGAGCACGGGCTACTACCTGCAGTGGATCATACAGCTGGGCTTCCACACCGATGCATTCGCACAGATGGGCAATTCTCAGGATAACAAGGAAGTTGTCAACTGGATGAACGACTGGACTATTTTCTACTGGGGATGGTGGATCGCCTGGAGTCCTTTCGTGGGAATGTTCATTGCAAAAATCTCCAGAGGTCGTACCATCAAGCAGTTCATCAATGGAACCATGACAGCGCCAATCGTGTACTCGTTCATGTGGCTGACAATCTTCGGCGGAGCCGGAATCAGAATGGAACGTCTAGCATTTCATGCCAACGTCACCTGTGATTCTCCTCTTGGAGGGGGGACGTCCACCGAAGGCTTCAATAAATTGTACCGTCTGTCCTGTCGCTCAAAGGATGACATGTGGTTTGATGTAGTTGAGCAATATGGTGACATTGGCGTAGTTCTGTCCGTGGTCTCTCTGGCTGGCATTATCCTGTACTTCGTGACGAGTTCTGACAGCGGGTCTCTGGTCATCGACTGCCTATCTGCAAATGGTGATCCTGATCCTCCAATCCTTCAACGTGTCTTCTGGGCTCTAACTGAGGGCGCTACAGCCACAGCTCTGTTGTTCGCTGGTGGTCCAAGGGCTCTGACGGCTCTGCAGACCGTTTCCATAGCAGCTGGCGTCCCTTACACCATACTGCTGTGTTTCATGTGTATAGCATTATGGCGTGCCGTCCATATCGAGGCTGGAGTCCTTAATCCCAATGGCCCGGCATTTACTGTCGACCTTCTGGAGGTGTTCACCAATCCCACCGTCAAATCCCTCAGCAAAGTCGCCATCGCCTTATTTTGCCCGTGGTATCCCATGGGGATTGCTGCTTGGAGGCTCAACGGTGGCAAGGGGAATATCATAACCTACTATTTGTCTCTTGCCGTTCCTTTCTACCTGTGGGTCATCGGCATGGCCTTAGAACCAGCCGTAGAGGGGTTAAGCTACCTTGCCTGGGCAGTGCTGTTTGCGTTTTTCGCATATGGCACCGCGGTCCGAATCGGCATTCGCGAGAAATTTGGAATCAACGGTAACATGGTGGAGGACTTCTTTGCAGTGATGCTGCTGTACCCGTTCGCCGCCTACCAAATGGATCACCACATGGCCAATCCACCCCATCTACCCATCGACGAAAACGGCCACACTGACAAATATGATGGAAAGGGCATGGCATACCAGAACGAAGCCGCCGACTTCCCGCTTGAGAAAGTGGACACTGCGTTTTAAATATTAAACGTATTTGTTTTTCTTTCACATGCTCTTTGAAGAGCATCGATTGATTTTTTTAGTTTTGAACTTAGCTTTACATTTTAAGAACTAATTTTATAATGGCTCATATTTATATGTAAGGTTTTTTATTCAAGCCAGTTAACTTTTGTTATTTATCTTGAAAACAAAAAATGTAGTTAATTGTTGAAAGGAAATTTTTAGCGTGGAAAAGGAAAGGGAAAAGTGAACAGTTCAAGAGATAACAGCTAACAGGCTAAAATGAAGCAAAATTGTCCTCTTTTGTACAGCAAAGAATTATTTTTGGCCGGTAAGCGACTGCATATGTGAGCTATTTGTTATGGTCGTGTGCATATCGTGTGGAAGGTCTTGTAAATTTACTAGAATAACTGAATGATGGAACAGTTTACGTAAATTTAAGAAACGTTTTCCCTTCCGCTTAAACAATTCAGACAACGAGAAATGTAACCATACATAATAACCCTGTATACCTAGCCTTGTGCAATAGACCCATGTTTTACTGCAATATAATGCATTCATTAGTTTTGCTTTTACGTCTTTTGTAAAAATCAATGGTCAATAAACTAGCATCTTTTCTTTGACATCAATACGTTTTTAGAGCAGTGTTGTTGGTTGGGTTTCGAAAGTTTCCAGCAACTGTTAGGGTGTTAGCATTATGACTGAAAGATCGTGTTTGCACTGTGATTATATTGGCTCCGCGGGATCCCTTCTTTTCAATGATAGCAGTAAGTTTTCTTGACAGTAGTAGCCTGGCGAATTAAGGAAAATGGCTAGTGAGCTCGACTTGTTTGTGGAGCGATAAAATTTGTTCCAAATGTCCTCCCAAGTCAGAACAAACATGTTTACTGTTTTCTCCGAAAAAACTAGCAACGTATTTAATGTCTATATCAGTAAACAGAATTGAGCAAATCATTTGAACTGAAAAGTTCAAGTTACCTGAAGTGTCTGAAGTAATCTTTAGTCAATGGTCCCACTGCAATCTCTGTTTCGCCGACATTTCTTTCCTGGGCAAAAAGTGAAGAAATTTGTAACTTTTACATGTATTTGGAATTGATTTTTTCCTATAACACTTGTTTCCTAATCTTATATCCTTTTATTTGTGAAGCTACTCTCATTTTGAAAATGTTCAGTTCACTGATTAGTTTTAAACTGACCCTCTTTGAAACATTTTCTGATTAAATTGTGAACAGTAAAATCTTTCTGCGCGTTAACCTCGGCAGAAAATCATTTTTATAGCAAACGGACCGGCAGACCTAATAGTAAATGTTTGGAGTGAGTCATTACCAAAATTAGGCAGCAAAAGTTCATATTTGCGCACATTCATAATTTAATCTGTGTACATCTATATTTGTTATTTGCCGGCTGGGAGTTCCGAAGAGTGAAAAACTGACCGAGGTCTTGAAAATGCTGCCTGAACCCGGAGGCCCGGGTCGGCATTTTCAAGCCCGAGGTCACAGTTTTCCACTATATACGGACCGACCGTAAGCCGGCAAATAACATACTACGATTATCAGTTGAGTAAGGCGGGACGAAAGTTTGGTCACCAAGTGTTAACGTAAAATCGTGTTGTTGTCACGGGCAACTTACCTCGTTTCCGTTGGTAACAATATCAACAGCCGTTGGTCGCCTCTCGCGTCGCCTACAATTTCGCGCCCTTTGCTGTCAATTGACGTCAAAGGCCGACAAGTTGCCAATGGATACGGAGCCAGTTGCTCGTGACAACAACACGATTTTTACGTTAAAACGTGGTGACCAAACTTTCGTCCGCCTTACTCAACTGATAATCGTAGTATTTATTAAGTGGGTTTGCTTACGCAACTTTGTCATTGAATTGGCTTACGTGCCGTCTACAAACCATCGCAAAAACTCTAATGAGCGAACGAGCGAGTAACTCAGATAATAGACAAAGAAAGATGTATTAAAGAACAGATTTATTCCAAACTACTTTATGTGTTGCATCTAGTTCACCAGTTAAGTTCTCCAAAATTGTTTTCCCGGTGTGGAATTTCGTGCAAAGTTTGAAGCTGTACTAAAAAAACAATTTTTATATCAGTCGTTGCGAATCACTCGAAATCGGACTTTTTCACCGTAAATTGCTTAGCAGGAAGAAAGCGAGGAAATTCATTAAGTGTATTCCACAGAAATTCTCTTAAATACAGCAGCGATAAGAGAGCTAAACTGGACTGCAATTGACTTTTTTTTGCTTAAAATTGTGCGGCGAGAGAAACACAGGATTACACGCCATCACAGCGCCGAACTACAAACAACCAAACAAATTCTCACAACTTCAAAACACTCAGCTGAATTTACTTACAATGGCTTTCCTTGCCATTAAAAAGTGAATAGAGATAATCTTGCGTTGATTAATCGTCGATGGAAGCGTAAAAAGGGCAACGATTGATCATAACCACTAGTTCACTCACGACGATTTCACGCGCGCTGTTTCCCGCCGTTAACGTGACCGTGGTCAGAGATAGGAAAATCCGCACCGCGCTAAGAACCAATCAGATTGCAGGATTCGTTACCGTACCCTTTTGGGAAAAAATAAGGGAAAATATCTGAAATTAGTATATACCACACAAGTGAATAGTGCTTTTCGCGCGCTCTGATTGGTTAACTCGGAGGTGATTAGCAAGGACTATTCACTTCCGAGCAGCAGGCGCGGGAGGTTTTAAAATTTCCGACCGCTTGTCACACATAAAATAACGTTTTGGTCCACTAATTATTCAGCTTGTGTGGTATATACTAAAACAATTATTTACCTCAGTGTCGGTGAAAGTGATGGATATTTACCTCCACTTCGGTGAATAATTGTTAATTATTACCCCGTAAAGCCATAATGGATCACAGAAGAATCGGGTAGAACCGACTAAGAGAAATGGCCACACATGAAAGTACGACCAAACTCTTGGAAAATAGTATCACTTTAAGTTTTTTCTATCACTTATTTCTCAGTGAAAAACAAATACAGGAGATCTCTGTGAAAAGTTGTTGCACAAGGAGTGACTAGCCTGCTTGGCAACTGCTAGCTACAGACATTTAGCGTAAAATGTTCCGAGAAGAACTGAAAAGCTACTAATTTCTCTTAACACTGTATACTGAGAAAAGTACCCTTGTGTAAAGTTCGTACCTCAGGTAAGGAAGACTCTTCACTTTGAACGAAGCACGTGCTCATAAGGTCTGCTTGATATAAAGTTCTTGTCGCAGCTGTCTGTGTTCCGTAACACCTCCAAACGAAGGGAAAATCCAAAATGAAGCTTGAAACGTTGTTGCACTGCAGTGGGCGAAGGCAAACGAAGCTCGACATTTGGTACGAAGGTGATAAACGTTTGCCCAAAGAACGCAACGAAATAAACGCTCTGTCACATAGCATAATTTGAAATTTAAATTTGTGAACGTTTGCGACTACGCCGTGGTGTGGGGAAGCGGGGCGGGGGTGTGGGTGGGGGTGGGGAGGGGGGAAGGGATCTTAGAGAGAAAAAAAAGGACTTGAAGACCAATTTGGCTTTGGATAGTACAATCACTACAGGGGCCGATTCTCGGAGTTTACATCCCGTGCATCACTTAGCCAGGTAGTGAGGGCTTGAAGGTTGGGAATTTTCACGCATTGAAACATAAATATGTTTATGCTCGCAGGAAATCAAGTCTGGAGTCAAGGAGGAATCGCCTTGTACATTACATATACAAAAAATACAGCTGCACAATAGAAATGGGATGTGTGTTTACGAAATTAGGGATGGACCTGGATGGTAGAATGCACTTGCTCGATTTTTTCCCAAGGCTCCCCTTGCACGATGTTTTTTTTTCAGCAGTGTTTGCTGTGCCGGAATTTTTGTTTGGGAATTGCCCACTCCCCCCCCCCCCCCCCCCCCCC